TTAAATACCAGGAATCTCAATTTCTAGAAACCTATAAATATAAAGGAATGAAATTTGCTGGCAGTGAAAAACTCAAAAATTTCTAAGACATTTCATAAGGAAATAACTGGAGATGTATTTTATATTTATAGCACATTCAGTGCAACCATTAAATATATATTAATTAGTAAGAAAGTTATTAATGTGAATTACATTTTTAAAAAGGATTATAGGAGTATGTCCAATATAATCCCACTTTATAAAATATTTAGAATAAAAGGTCATATGCCCAAATATAACCGTGGCAGAGGGATGGCAGATGACTTTTAGCTGTTTTTCCATGAGTTTTCCAACTTTTCTTGAGTAGAAAATTAGAATTCGAATACCGGAGATCTAGAAGGAATTATAATAATTCCTGCTTGCTTTCACTTTCCTGTGGCTACAGGGATTTGGAGCTAAATATTAGGAAGTCCTAATTTTTTTTAATCTTTATTGTTGAAAGTATATATGTCCTCCTTTTTTCCCCATTGACCCCTTCTAGCCCAACCCCCACCCCTGCCCCAGGCCTTCACCATCCTATTGTGTGTGTTGAGGTATTATTAATGTATGCATTACAAGTTTTCTTCCCACCTACCTACCCACCCACCCTCCCTCACCTGCCTTCCCTCTGAAAAGGAAGTCCCAATTTTTAATTTAGCCACTGGCCAAAATGACCTTGGGTAAATCCTATTGACCTTATTGGACCTCAGTTTCCTCATCTGATAAAATGAGAGACTAGACAAATGAGGGCCCTTCCAATTTTAAAATGATTCTGGAATCCCAATTTGTCTGGGGGGGGGAAAAAAGTGGACTATGACCTAAGGGACTAGACATAGAAGTCTGAAGTCAAGCACACTGTTATTTGGAAGCTTACTGACCTACCTATCTGTCTAAAGTACTTGTTATATTTTTAGGAAGCAGCAAAGCACTGTATTTTAGGGTCAAATAACTCGGTAAAAGCTTAACATTCTTTTCCTCACTTTATCAGTATCTGTTAAGCAAGGAACTTTCCAGTTTGACCTCAGGCTCCTTTTCTTTTTTTAACCCTCACCTGAGGATATTTTTCCATTGATTTTTAGAGTAAGTGGAAAGAAGGGAGAGAGACGAGAAACGTAGATGTGAGGATTGAGCACTTTACAGGTTACCACATTTTAAAAAATATGTATTTTTATTGATTTTAGAGAGGAAGGGAGATGAAGAGAGATAGAAACAGCAATGATGAGAGAGAATCATTGATCTGCCTCCTGCACGCCCCCTACTGGGGATCAAGACCACAACCCCGGGCATGTGGCCTTGGTCAGAATTGAACTCAGAACCCTTCAGTCTGCAGGCCAGCAGTCTATCCACTGAGCCAAACCAGCTAGGGCAACCACATTTCTTTACAATGTATTATTTGCTCTTTATAATAGGCAGGGAAAGTATTATTTCTGTATTTCAGATAAGGATACTGATGGCCAAGTGACTTACCCAGTTCACATTGACTGTCAGTGGTAGAACGGAGATCTGGACCTCAGAAGATCAAGTGCTTTTGTCGCTATATATTACTGCCTCTTTTAATTTGGATTTTCTGATTTTTTAGTGCTTTACATTTTCTGATATGACAGTTCTCATTCTTACGTGAGAAAAGCTGCCAGGTATTAAAATTTGAAAGTTGGATAAGAGGAGACCTAGCAGCCCATTGCCTTTATGTAGACATATAATGTAATTTCACATTTTAAAAGTTAGGAAAATGAGATCTACAGAGACCAAGTGACATGCTCTATATATCACATTGACAGAGCTAGGAGTTGAGCCCACTGCCTTACAAGGAAATCAGTGGTTAGGTTTTCTTGCAGAATCGAGAAGTGATGCTCTTTGAACTTTATTTGTTTTGAATATTATCACCAAAGTGCAAGGATAATCAACCTTTCAGTAGCAGTTACTGAGCACCTACTGTATCCAAGGTATTCTTAGTTTTTTAATTATTGCTTGGAAGTGCGGTAGCCAACTAAAACAATGTGCAGTTTTTTTGTATGTGTGCAGATGGCTCTGTTCTGTCATTTAGGTACATGTAGTTGGGCATTTTATTTTGGGTATAAATAGTGAGCAAGGCAGGGTTTTGTTTTTTTATATTGTGAATTTTAAGTAATAAAAACCCATCTCTGCCCCCAACCCCCCAAAAAACCAAAATCAAAACAAAACAACAAAACAAAACACCAGTCTGTACCCAGAAGCTAGGATTCTTTTATTTTTGTTACTCCAACATTCATATTGTTGACTTTTGCAGTTCCTGGCAGTGTTGTAAGTGATTATTAGACCTCAGAACAAACTTTCTGAAATAATTGAACTGAGGTTGTTTTTGTTTTTTACTGTTATTCTAGTTATTAAATGATCTACTTTATATAGTAAAACCTGAACACCAGAAAATATCAGAGATTCTAACATATATTAATTGTATAGATCTAGATGTGGCTAGTTGTCCTATCACCAAGGACAAATGCAAAAACAATGTACTGGACATTGACCTCCCTCAGATGATCTCTCAGCATTGGTTAATTATTCCTACAGAATTTTATTTATATTACTAGAATGACAGTGGTAACATTTTATTATAGACTAGAGGCCCAATGCATGAAGATTCGTGTAAGAATGGGCCTTCCTTCCCTTGGCTGCTGGCACTGCCTTTGCTCCAGCCTGGAGCCGCCTTTCTGCCTTCGTTCTGGCCTGGAGCTGCCTTTCCACCTTCCCACACTGCCCAGAGGCCCAGAGCGGCTGGGGCAGTCCTGCCCCGCACCCAGCCGCTTGGTGCCTGCATGTACAAATTAACCCGCCATCTTTGTTGGGTTAAGTTGTATCCTCCGGATTGGCTGGTGGGGTGTCATGAAGGTACAGTCAATTTGCATCTTTCTCTTTTATTAGTGTAGATACTGACACAACTCCCCAGCAAAACCATCAGCTCTGTGAAATCTGGGACCACCTTGTTCATTTTTGCATTTTCAGAATCTAGCACAGTAGCCAGTACATTAGAGTAGTACTCATAAAATGTTTAAATAGTATTGACATGGTGTATTGAACACCTCTGAATCAACTGAGCTAGTTGTCAGGACAAAAGCCTTAGGTCTTAAAATATATTTACAAGTTAAGTTAGCTTGAAAGAATGGTTAGAGACTTGCAACCCTTAGAGTACCCTTATTATTAATATACTAGAGGCCTGGTGCACGAAATTTGTGCACTCAGGGGAGGGGCAGGGGTTCCTTCAGTCCAGTCTGTGCCCTCTTGCAGTCCGGGGGCCCTCAGGGGATGTCCAACTGATGGCTTAGGCCCGCTTCTTGGCCTAAGCCATCAGTTGGACATCCTTAGTGCTGCCGCGAAAGCGGGAGAGGCTCCTGCCACCACCACTGCATTTGCCAGCTGTAAGCCCGGCTTCTGGTGCAATGACCTCCAGGGGGCAGCTCCTGTGTTGAGCGTCTGCCCCCTGGTGGTCAGTGCGCATCATAGTGTCTGGGCGTTCTACCGTTCCGTCGATTTGCATATTAGCTTTTTATATATAGGATATCCCTGTGTCACTAATGAAGTGATCAGTAGAAACCAGGTCACCTTTGAACTATTCTGTTTAGAGTTTCTAGGAAGGATTTTGTGTTCCACGGCCTCCCACCAATTTGTATTGATGGCCTAAGAAAAAAAGAGGGCTTTTTTTATAACCTGTAATTAGACATGTTTCCTCCTCTTTCATCTATGAAACTACTGTCTTCTTGGCAGGAGAACCCCAGGGACAGAACAGATAATGTCATACACAAGCTCTGAAAACCAGTTTTGTTTTTAAAGAACATATTAGAAATCTATTTAGACAGTCTAAAAATGTTATTATTTGTTAGCTGCTTTTATTAAAAAAATTTTATTAGCTATTCATTAATTAAGGCAAGGACATACTCTTGAGAAGGAATGTTTCATGTAAGCAAGAAGGTAATTTCCTTACTTGAAAAGCATGTGTGCAGGCTTTGCAGAAACATTATGTTTGCTGGTTCATTTACTGTGTAAATCAACTGCCTTACATATTGTTTACTAAATCTTGGCCTGTAACATAGATTTTCAACTTGAGTTGAAGTGGATTGAGGAATCCACTTTGATGCCTTTGATGAAAATGATCAAATTCTTAGATGTATTTTGTGTTTTAACATTTACTAGTGTGTGTGTGTGTGTGTGTTTTGAAGTTTAAAGGATTATAAAGAACATAAAATATGGTCCACAATCTCAATGACAAAATAAGTTTTACTGATAATTTGTTTCCATTCCACCTACATTTATTAGCAGGCAAGCATAAGTACATTTGTTCACATTTTTAAAAAGATACAAATAATATATACAAGTGATTAGAAAATTTAAACTGTACAAAAATAAAATCCTTTATCACCCCAAAAGTTTGTTGGTATCTTTCCAAGAAAAATTTTAATGCACATATAGCTCTTTTAAAAAATTACACAAAAGGCTTTATGGTATACACTGTATTTGTCATTTTGCTTTTTCATAGATCTTGGCACCTTTTTCATACCAACATATGCATATCTACCTCATTTTTTTACACCTCTTACTACATGGGTAAACCATATATATTTTACTAGTCTTATATTCATACACATTTAGATTATTTCCAGTGTTGTTGCAGTCAACATCCCGTTCAAAAAATTTGGTACAGTATAATTTCTGAGCAGTGGAATCATGGGTCAAAGAGTATGTGTATTTAAAATTTTGAAAGATTTTCAGATTTCCATTCAAAGATTAGACTGATTTTTATTCCAATCAACAGGGATTATAGCATACTAATTTTCCTGTACTGTTGCCAATATTAAAAATCTGGTGGTTTTAAAAAATTTCTACCAATCCAGTAGGTGAGCTAAATAATACTTTTAAGAAATAGGAATTAGTGGATTTTTTAAAATGCTCTGCAGGATTGAAAAGGTAGTATTCTTATTTTTAATTGTTTTTTATGTTTTACATCTTAAGAGATGAAATTGGCCTGATCCCATGTCCTGAAGCTAGGTATAACCGGAGCCCCATAGTCCTGGTTGAAAACAAACTTGGTGTGGAGAGCTGGTGTGTCAAGTTCCTTTTACCGTATGTCCACAACAAGCTCATTTTGTACAGAACAAGAAAGCAGTGGCTGAACAAAGATGGTAAGTATGAACTCTGTCATCTTCCTTTGTTTTTTGGAAGCAGCATGGAATATAGTGGGAAGAACCCTCTCCGGTTGCTGGCATTGCTGGATTCTAGTTCTACCTCTTTCATTCATTGCCCAGGCAGGTGTGTAACCTCGGAAAAGTGAGGAGTTTGAACTCATCAGTAGTTTTCAAATTTTACATCCATAGTGATTCTATGGGAGGTTCTTCAAGCAGGTTGCCAAGCCACCTACTGAAAACCGAGTAGTAAATCGAGCAATTCTGATTTATCTTTTTTGATATAGAGGGGTCATTTATTAAATTGTATTTGGAGAAGGTATTCTGTGACCAAAAAGAAGAGGACTGCGGTTGCTACAAGCTCAGATTCTCTGGTTTCTAATCCTTTAGTGCTATTCTGTGTGTGTGTGTGTGTGTGTGTGTGTGTGTGTGTGTATAAATAAATAAAAAGAGGTGATATGCAAATTAGCCAGGACGCCTTAACAGTCACGAGGGCTTGGGGGGAGGCTGTGTGGGCAGGTGGGAGGGAAGGGACTGCTGCCCGGTGAGGCAAGCCACAGGTGGTGCAGGCCTGCAGGGAGCAGGGCCTGCCGGTGGGCCGTGGCAGCAGTGGCGAGCAGGCAGGCCCGCAGAGGACAGGGAGCAGGACTTGCCTACGGGCCGCGGCGGCGAGCAGACAGGCCTGCAGAAAGCAGAGAACAGGCTTGCCAGCAGCCGGGCGGTGAGGAGGCCCACAGAGAACAGGGCCTGCCAGCCAGGGCGTGCCAGCAGTCCTGCCTCTGTGTGTGAGCTGCAGAGGAAACACCTTTTCTGACTGCTCATTCGCTAAGCTCCCAGTACGCCACTCGCAGTGCTCTTGGTAACTTGCGTAATAAGAATCTAAAAAAGTGATCTAGGGTTTTCCACCTCACTTCTGGAGGAAAAACTGAAGGTCCACTGCTGGAGGGGCTAAGAAATGTCATATCCTGCCCTAGCCGGTTTGGCTCCGTGGATAGAGCCTCGGCCTGCGGACCGCAGGGTCCGGGTTCGATTCTGGTCAAGGGCATGTACCTAGGTTGCAGGCTCCTTCCTGGCCAGGGGCAAGGTCAGGGCTCATGCAGGAGGCAATCAATCAAAGTGTCCCTCTCATATTGATGTTTCTGTTTTTCCCCCTCTCTTCCTTGCTCTCTAAAAATCAATGGAAAAATATCCTCAGGTGAGGATAAAAAAAGAAAAAAAAAGAAATGTCATATCCTATGAAAGGGACATCTTGAAAATGCCTAAAGAAAGTTGTCATTTTTTTGTGGTGAAGGGACTGGAGTCCGTGTTGATGAAAACACCTTGGCGGCCGGTAGTTGAAGCGGCAGCGGGGTGATGGGGGCGGTGCCTTCCCCTCATCAGCTCAGTTGCCTCCCACAGAGGGAGGCCAGACTGCGGGCCTAAGCCATCAGTAGGACACCCCCTGAGGGCTCCTGGATTGGAGAGGGTGCAGGTTGGGCTGAGGGACCACTCTCCCCCAAATCCCCCTCCCACACACACACACACGAATTTTGTGCACTGGGCCTCTAGTATAAACAATAGAACTCATTTTAGTAGCAATCCAAATGAGATAATGGAGGCATCATGGTGGTAGTTGGATTGTGATTTGTCACACTGTGAAACCCAGTTGAGCTCAAGCCCTCTGTGTCCTTTTCCTATGCTGATATGATCAAAAGAAAACCATCCCAGCATTCACTTCTTCTGCTCCTCTTTGCTGCATCAGACAATCCCTACTCATTCCACCTGGTTTATTTTCTTAGTTTCCCGCTATAGGTGATATTAAGCCTCCATGTACACAAATTCTGTTTACTTTTCAGTAAAAGTAAGACCTAAGGGCTCACTTTTTTGGAGAGTACTAAACCAAGATTGTTTTTGTAAAGCTCCTGGTCCCTCCCCACATTATATCAGTACCTTTAAAAGTACTCAATATGCCTGGTGGCTAAGTTTGAATAAGAACTTTGTTTCATGGAGAATTTTCATTATCAGCTTGGTAGCCATTACCAAAGGCCTACTCATAGCAGAAGCTGTTCTAAGTAGTGTAGGAGACAAAAAGATGAATAATATATGTTCGCTTTACTCAAGAAGCTTATAGTGAGTGAAAAACAATCTCCTTGTGGAGTGTTACCAAAGATATTACATAGCAATTTACTTATATTCCTTTCAGCATTGTCCTTAACATCCTATATAATAAAGAGGTAATGTGCAAATCCACCCTCACTCCGTCACGCCATCACAAGATGGCTGCATCCACAGCAGCGGCAGGGTTCCCATAACACAAGATGGTTGCGCCCACAGCAGAGGCAGGGGTCCCGTAATGAGCCATAACAAGTGATCAGCAAGGACCTGAGGCTGCGGACACCTGGCCGGGGTGGGGGACCTGAGGCTGCACCCCCCCTCCTGGTGGGGCTTGATGGGGGACCTCAGGCCATGCACCCCGCCCTGGCTCTTGACCGGGGTAACTCAGGCTGCGCCCCCCCGCCATGGCACCGGGCTGGAGGACCTGAGGCTGCACCCCCCCACCTGGTGGGGCTTGATGGGGGACCTGAGGCCGTGCCCCCCCCACCCGGTGGGGCTTGACAGGGGACCTGAGGCTGCACCCCCTGCATGGCGCCGGGCTGGGGGACCCAAGGCTGTGCCCCCCACCCGGCAGGGCTTGACAGGTGTGGAGCTGGCCGGGTCTGGGTCTTGCGCAATTTCAAGGTGCACGCAGGTGGCTGGGGACTTGACTCTGGGTCCCATGGCATGCCCCAGACTCTGACAGGAGGAAGATTTTCATATACATTTTACTAATTTTCTTTCATCTCTGACACTTCTATTGCAGAGAAAGGGCAAGTAGCAATATTAAAATATTTCCTCTAATTAATTCCCTTTTAATGTGCACGAATTTCCTGCACCAGGCCACTAGTACTGTCGTAAGAGATTAATAGCACTTATCTGTTTAGACCAGTAGAAAAGGAGTTTGATTTGAAGGTTATTTAATGTGTGAAATAGTTCCTATTTTGTGTGTTTTACTTATTTAGTCCTCTGATATATAGATTTTATACACACACACACACACACACACACATAAATGTATATTAGAGGCCTGGTGCATGAATTTGGCCTGTAGGATCGGGCCGAAACCGGCTCTCCGACATCCCCTGAGGGGTTCCAAATTTCTAGAGGGTGCAGGCCAGGCTGAGGGACCCCACCGGTGCACAATCAGGGCCGGGGAGGGACTGCAGTAGGGCTCCAGGGCGTGTCTGGCCCTTCTTGCTCATTCTGGATCGGCCAAACCCCAGCAGCAAGCTAAACTACTGGTCGGAGCATCTGCCCCCTGGTGGTCAGAGCACGTCATAGCAGGCGGTTGAGCAGCCTTAGCATATCATTAGCATATTACGCTTTAATTGGTTGAACAGATGACTGGACTTAGCATATTAGGCTTTTATTATATAGTATATATTTTTGTATATAAACTTAGTTAAAAGGCTATGCCTAAGTTTATGATATAGTTTATGTTTGTGGCATCAACTTAAAGGTATAAGTTTAAGCGTAAGCTTAAAGGTAAGGATTTTTGTATTGTTAGATCCTCTTTCCTTCTCCATTTCATCTCTCTATAGTAGGTTTTAATATCATTAAGGCACAAAGTAACACCCTATGAATCCATTAAGTTATTTTTTGCCAAACAGCTATATGTGTTTTCTGGCACACAGAAATGTATAATTGAATCAATACATAACTAACTTGGGGCAGGGTGGCAGAATGATACTCTTGTAGAAAAGACAATGTACATTTTAAAATGTCAAAGTCTATTTTTGTTTCAGATCATTGATTTTTGCCTATTCATGTGTGCTAGCCCAACCTGCCTTCTCCTTGTAGCCCTTCCAAGTCTTTTCCTGTCTCTGTTTCTTGCATCTATGGACACTGCACAGTTGGCTTTGCTAAATCTCCTCATCATGTAGTTTTAGTCTTGATAGGCCCAGGAGGACCCGGGCAAAAGATGATGTGGTTAAATGCACTCACAAGAATAGCTGGCATCTAAGCTCTGAGTGCCGATGCAGCTTCACATGTTTATAGAGCTTGATTGCATCTAACCTGCATCCTTATGGAAGCAGTTCTCAGTTTCACTGTTTTGGTGTGTAGGGACAGCACAATTTAGTGTCGTACGTACAACTCAGGCTGTGTATCATTATCAGTAAAAATATGGAAGCGAATTTCTGATTTGGCAGGAAAGGATATGTGAAAATCCTGACTAACATAAGAGTCTTTTACCAAACTTATGAACCGAAGCAATTAGGATACAGAGGTAAATCTTGTTAAGTAAAAGCAAAAAATGTTTGGAAAAAATTATTTCATGAAAATGCTGTGAAAACTTTTTAAAGAAAATATACAAATAAGAACAAGTGAAGAAACTGGACAATTTCTGAACAATTTCAGAAATGTCAGTGTTTGTGTGATTGATCATGCCAAAACCCTAGGTAGGCATCCCCTAAGAGTGTGTTCTGTAAATGAAGGTTACCTTTATTCTTGGAATACATTTTTTTTCTTTTTAATCAAGCTGAATTCATGCTCTCCTTAATGTGCTGAATTCCTTAGATCTTTGGAAAGCCTCTGTCTGTATTAGGGCTCTCCAGAGAAACAGCCAGCTGAAGATTACATGTTACCAGGAGACTTACTATGACACATCGGCTTGCATGTTTTTATGCAGGCTAAGAAGTCCCACCATCTACTTTCTGCAAGGTGGGGACCCGAGAAAGCCAGCGATGGGACTTAGTTTGAGTCTGAAGGCCTGAGAACCAGCGAGCCAGTGTTTTAATCAGTCCAGAGGCAGGAAAAGATGAGAAGTCCTAACTCAAGCAGACAGACAGCGAGCAAAAAACAGGGATGAATTCCTCCTCCTTTCTTCTCATGTCCTAGGTGGGCCTTTAACAGATTGGATGATGCTTACCCTAATTATGGAGGGCAATCTACTGTATCGACCAATGCTACTCTTGTCTGGAAAC